GCTCTTTGCTCACAGTGAGGTAGATGCCGAGCCTTGAGGTAAAGACAGCTAGTTAGTTTAGTTGTATGGTTACCTTCCCTGGCCCTTCATGCAACTTTCATATTATTGGTTTCCCTTTGAAAGATCAGCGACAATCAAGGTCAGAATTGAAATATTTCCAACTCTAAGCAATCTCCTACAATTTAAAGCGGTGCTTGAGCCAAGTAGGGAGTAATCACTAAAACCAACGACAAAGCCAGCGGAGAGCATTGACTTACTGAATAACTCTGATCTTGAGAATACATTTATGCAAATGTTCACGCCAAATAAGATTTCCGAAGATTGGAATTTCTTTGCCAGACCAGCTAATTTACTTCCAGCAGGTCCTTTGTCATGTTCTGAGATGTCCTGCAGAGCCTCATGCAAAGCTTGGTCATTGTCAAGTACACTTCTGATAGAGGAATTCTGGCGGGTGCACCTTGTGGGGCTTAGTGTGCGAGGTGTTCATAACTCCACATGTTTTGGACTAAAGAACCTGGTAGGCTGCTTTAAACTACCTGTGACAAAGTTCACTTTATCCTGGAAAAGGTCAAATGTGTCCAGTACAAGATGTACCTCATGTGTGACATCCTGTAATACCAAATTAAGGACATTGTTTCCGAAGTGCACAAAAAATGTTTGGCTAATTTTTCAGGATGATTTTCCAACAATCAGCCATTTACATTTATTTACATTTGAACTGGTCTCTCTCCTCATCTGACTCACTGCAGCACCTGTCTCTCAAGATTCATTTTCCTTAAAGGACGATTGATAATCAGAATCGTAACTTAATAGTACGTTTCTGTCAATAATGACACTTGGTGTAGACTTGGTGCTTTTCTCCTGGTTGTATTTCCTTTTGTTTGTCGCAGCTTAATGTTAGCTGAAATTAAAACACATTAGTTGCTAGTAATGGGCACTTTGGCTATTTTCAGGCAGCAGGCTTTCAGTTCCCTGATGTTGCCAAACAAGCATTACTAGCAGACCTTGAATTAATAATGCAATATTCACTCAAATATTGACAAGCCAATTATCCCTTAATTCAGGCTAATATTTAGATTCTTTCTATAAAGTGGTCCACTTTGCATTTTGTTTCTGTTTCTTAATTGGTTTCCATGTCATGTGATATTTGACGTGAGGATAATGTCTGCTGTTCCCCACTCAGATCCCTCCCTGCGATAGAAATAAAGTTCTTTGAGAACAAAAAACCCATTCAATCTGCAATTAAAGCTCAGATTCAGAGTCAGTGCCAAGCCTTATGTGTTTGAGTAGCGAGATCGCTTGACAGGTCCCAGAAATAGTCCATACCAAAAAAGGCCACTTTCAGTTCATGAGGTGGCAGAACAGATGACATGTTTCCCAAGTGCCTCCACACCATGCTGCACTTTACTCAGGAGCCCCCTCACTTTGGCCGGATTACTTTCTCAACTGTTGTTCTGGGTCAATGTTTCTAAAACCACTTCAGGAGAGCTCCACCTGAGAAATAACCCTTGCTCGCCAGATGTACTGGTTTTAGATGGTTGTGGTGAAGGGTTAGATGGAAAACATGCTGAACAAGGGGTTCATGCTCTAATATAGGTTTAGAGCAGGTTCAGGGCGAGGGAGAGAGCGTGGCAGCAAATTATCCTCATATTAGACATAATTGGACAAAACACAGAGGTTATGTAGAGTTAAGTAAAGGTGGTAACACTATTAACGTCAGCTAAACAAAAGTAATTATTACGTTTTTAAAAAGGTGTGTAAAGGTGCTTTTAAAAAGGTCCAAGCCAGCGTGAGATTTTTTTTTTAATTACCTGTTTTGTGAGTTTCTTGAAATCGTAAAATGATCATGCTTAAAAAAAATAGCATGACAATGATATTTATTTTTCCTAAAAGTGGTGTAGTAACGTTAAAGCTGTATTCGCCCTAATTCAATAATGGGGATGCATGTGCTACACTTGGTCCATTGCTCAGTTGCATTACTGCAGTGAGACCAACAAGCCAGCTTAGGTTAAGCCAAAAGTTAGTTTGCTCAGCGCTTATCCTGCCTTATGGGACACAACCCAGAAACAGAGGTGACAAAAACTCAGAGAGCAAAGAGGTGAAGATAATCCTCTAACAAGCTCAGCGAGCGAGAAAGGACAAAAATGTTTCATCAAAGTTGACCATGAGATGTTAGACAGGAGATGTGAACAAAAGCTTATTTTCTGCATGGGATATATTGAAAACAACCAATCGAAACAGTAGCGACAACCACAAAGAACCCCTAATTGTGCCCATCTTGGCCCAATCATGAGCTCAAGTAAAAAGAATAGTTTGACATTTATTAAAGGATGTTTATTGAATGTCTTTCAGACAGTTAGATGAGAAGATCAATATCACTTATCTGTTTAATAAAAGGATACAATCAGATAGCTCAGCTTACAGCATATTGGATACATTTGGAGACAGGAGGAAATAGCTAGACCAGCTCTTTCCGAAGGTAACAACATCTGACTACAAACTCCTTTAAAACTCAGACTGAACACTATATCTAATTTGCTTGACGTCTACAAAAAACAAAGTGTGGTTAGATTGCAGTTGTGGTTTTGTTACATGGCCAGAATGTATCTCAGGTGGATGCAGTTACTTCCTGGAGTCTCCACTAGTTACCTGGTGAACTATTTCGATAATTGACACAAAAAGAGCCCATGTGGTATGAATCCATGGCAGCCCACCTTGAGATGATTAGCAGCCCACATGGGTAAAACATACATAGGACCAAAATGGCGCTGGCATTTTATACCCATAACCACAAAATGAGTATGCTGGGCACATGCCAGATTCTTAGCACTTGGAAAATTAATTGTTGTGCCAGGGTTTCTGATTAACAACTCTACAAAAATCCCAATGATTTACATCAGGTTCATTCATAGTTATGGAAATATTACAGCTGCTTTAAATCACAATTTATACTCAATCTCACTTGACAGGTGACCAAGTGTAAAACCAAACCTGTAGTATAAACCATCATCGTAATATAAGTGCAAGGCTCACAAAGTCAAAGTGTGTGTGTGTGCGGTGCTGATGTAGAATGGGTAAGAGGGTGTGTGTGTGTGTCCAAACCTTAAAATCCAGTCACCCCCCAACCCCTTGTGCAATTTTCACGGAGGCTGGGTTTCATCAGGTTTTGTATTTCAGACCTATTGATTATCTGCAGTGAGGGGCACTGTGACAAAACCCCAGCAGGAGTCCTCCATCTGCAATAAGCCATGCACAAACACACACATTTAGTCTGCTGTGTTATTGCTCCCCTGGTTATGAGAGAGAGGTATGCTCACTAACAAAACATTAAAGCTCATACTGGTATTGGTTCTTTAATGGGATTATCCAATTTGCTGTGAATCAATAAAATCGTTCACCTCACAGCTCTAATTTAACACAGATGTATTATTTAAAGATATCTTTCCTATATTATTCTTTATGTTTGGATCTAAAGGTTGTCATTGGTTAGCTGATCGATCCCCTTCTTTTGAGGCCAAGCAGTATCTGTAGGCTAGTCCTCTCTTCCTAATCGATTCTTTGACCTTTGAGTCTCCTGTAGACACAGTGAGACATGCAGGTACAAATATGAAGGGGAATAGCACGCAGCCTCTTAATGGCCAGACTATTGGGCAAACAGATTTGTAAGAGCCAAATTAAGTTTAATGTATTATGCTCTTAATTATTCATTTCGAGCTAGCAGGACCTTAGTTAAGTTAAGTCAAGTTTATTTTGGCTATGTGTCATACGACAGGCCTACTCAATGTGCTTCAGAATACCAGAAAATAGGCAAAAATCATACATGACAAATCAAAAACATAACATGATAACATTGAATAAATTATGCATAAGATAGTCTATATAAAACATGTAAAATACTTTTTTTAATATACATTATTACAGAAAAGGGAAAGAAATAAGAAGGTATGATGTTGTTAGTGCTATCATTAAAAAGGGAATAATAGTATAATAGTTTAACCTTTTAGACAACACACAAACCAATGGTAGAATGTGTCTGACTGTATTTACTCGAGTAATTTAACTTTACTTAAGTATTCCCAGGTCCTATCTACTCCTCTACATCTCAGAGGGTGATATTGCACTTTTTATAGCATGCTATGCTTAGCTTTAGTTAATTGACATCAAAGATCCTATCTAAAAAAAAAAATATCTATCTATCTAAGATTGAGATTAGTAATACAATTTACAATCAACAAATGATGTCTAAATAATAAGGCTAAAGACAAGCCTTTATTGATCCCTTTTTTCACAAGCTAGCTAACAGTAGACTAATCTAGTAAAAAAATCAATCCTGCAACATTGTGATGATGACAAATGCACCAATGTCATTCAGAATGGATAATTCTGCACAATGACCACATTAAATCTATGTTGATACTAATGTGTTTCAACTTTAACTTAAGTACATCATGAATGAAGGACTTTTACCTGTAACAGAATAATTATAAAAGGTGGTATAAGGGCTACTACTTTTACTAAGTAAGAAAAATACCTGAATCTTCAACTACTGTTAAAAGCTAACTGAAAGCTTGCAAAGGGAACTATGTTTTAGTCTGTTTTTGAAAAGAGGACAGTGTTGCAGTCAGTTTGTGGAAGATTTCATGAGTAGCAGTTCACTGAGCATTTTAACAAAGTAGAGATAAGCCATTTATAGATTTGGTTTTGATGAGAGCCAGTGAAGAGAAGTTAAAATAGGACCCATGTGTCCAAACATTTTGTTTTTGCTAAATACTCTGTGTGCGTCACTCTGGATACGCTGGAGTTTATTTATCACATGTGGTGTTCCCCCCACAATCCAAGCTCTGTCTTTTGTAAACGGTGAAAAGGTCATAAATCAAGAAAATGTCTTACCTTCATTTAGGTCAGCAGCAGAGAAGCAGAACTTCCATTCAAAGTTTGTGCATTCATGGACGAAACGTGACTGCCATCTTGTGGCGGGAAAAGGAAAAGCTACCCATTGACGTCACTGTCGCAAAAACAAACAAACATCGCTTTACGTTAGTTTGTGTTTTTAAAATTCGACATGGCATCTTCATTGATTTGCAACGAAACTCAAAGCAGGTAAATTACAACTGTAAATGAATCGTTTTTATTACTTTAAAGATAACCAATGAACTTATATGTAAGGCTGTCCCTCATTAACTTAAATCAATACCACGCTTATCGTAGATCATGCCACATGTTCTGCTGTATGTCACCCTCCTGTTGGCTAGTGTTGTTGTCATTTCAGGGTGAGTACAGTTTTAAACAGAGATGTGAAGCAGTATGGAAAGAAGTACATGTTTGACTGCAACGAAGAGACGTGCTGGAACTCAGACCAGGTACATCTGCATATGTGTCCCAGTAGCATGAAAAATACTTATTGCATATACTGTATATGTACTTTATATTCTTATATTATAGCTGTCTTAGTTCAATTCCAAAGAGTTGTAAACACTTTAAGAAAAAAATTATGTTTTCTTTAGTTTTTTTATAATTTGTGTGGGGCAAACTGGTTTAGGCTATACAAAAACGAACAAAGTCACATCTGTTTGGTGGGTTTTCCAGTGTAAGCATAACACTAGGTATTCAAAATCACTAACAATTTATATCAAAAACCAAATAATAATAAACAAATATTCTTTAAGACTTCTCACAGAAAGTGATTGTTCTACTGTACATGTCTGAGAGAGTCATTCGCATCTTCTCTTTGACAGGGTGACTGTCAGTGGGTGTCTCTGGAGTTCCCTCAATCTGTCAAAGTGTCAGAGTTAAAGGTCCAGTTCCAGGGAGGCTTCTCAGCTAAGACATGCAGACTACACGGTAAAACTCAGAGATAAAATATTCTAACTTTAAGCCTGGTCACAAATTGTTTACTTATCCATACTTGCTTAAGTGTTCTCACGTGTTTCATTTTACAGACAAGATCTAAGGTGTAACAAGATAAGGTACATTATTTTCCACTTTTTCTTACAACAGGTTGCCCGAAAGATGGAGCCTTTACCCAGATCTGCGATTTGTATCCAGAGGACGACAACTCTCTCCAGATATCCTTCAGTATTACTGTGCAGCATTAGACAATAGCCCTGTAGTTTCTTGAAATATTCCTTGCTAAATGTTTTAGATATAGTTAACCTACATTTTCTACAAAACATCATTCATTGCATTAATTATAATAATGACAAATTAGGATGTTTCCCACAAATATAACATGAAAAAGCCACTGTATCAGAAAGATATTCCAGTTCAATTCTGCTTTAATTCATTCAAACATTCATTCAGCCATTCAGTTACAGCAGCTTGGCTGTATCTGTCACTCTTACAGTGTTTCCTTTTACTGTTCTACATGGTTCATAATAAGCATCAGACAATATTTTCCTGGCTATGCCTTTCACTATGCTTATCTTTTTCTTAACTCCACACCCACATCTTTCCCATACAGGAGGCCCCTGCTGTGGACAAAGTAAAAATAATGTTTGAGAATAGTGCCGACTTTTTTGGGAGGATTATTGTTTATTCCTTAGACATCCTGGGGGGGAAAACCTCATGACCATTTTTTTTAAGGCCTCTCGTGAGAGAAGAGGGGGCTCCTGAGTAAAGTGCAGCATGGTGTGGAGGCACTTGGGAAACATGTCATCTGTTCTGCCACCTCATGAACTGATGTGAAAGTGGCCTTTTTTGGTATGGACTATTTCTGGGACCTGTCAAGCCATCTTGCTACTCAAACACATAAGGCTTGGCACTGACTCTGAATCTGAGCTTTAATTGCAGATTGAATGGGTTTTTTGTTCTCATATCTTGTAATGGTGCTTTTTTTCTACTTATATTGTGCCTTTGAATTGAAGCCTCAGACCAGTGGAACACAGTATAAAAATATGTTTTTATTCAAACTTGTTCATTGCTGTGCTTCAGCCAAACAAAAATAAAATCTGCTGCAAAACATAGCATTTAGTCCTTGTTTGTACATAGTAGATGAACAATGTAATGCATACAAGTGGAATAAACAATAGGTATAAAATAGCAAATGTAGTTTACATGATGGTAATGTCTCTGAAGAGCTGTTAGTAGATCTGAGATAAACAGCGTCCGACCGTTTTTTTACTCTTGTCATGTAGGTGGTGTGTACAGCTTCAGAATATGGTCCTCCAACACTTTCTGAACTAGAAAACAAAATAAAACATTTTTTACGGTAACCGTTAAAAAACGTAAACCTTTTAAAAAATGTATTTGTTAGATTTAAAAACACAATACATACTCTTTGTGTGTCCAAGGGCAACAGCTAAGGCCATTGGACTGTACCCAGAGTCAGACTCGATGGTCATGTCTGCGCCTTTGGCTTAAAAAGAGAGTAAGGGCAATTATTAAGCATTCAAACAGATGTTTCCACAATCATGGTTCTACATAATAAACATGCAATGTACCTAGGAGTGACTCTACACATTTGATGTGGTTCCCTCGCACAGCATAAAGTAGAGGAGTTCCCCCATTCTGTTAAAAAAAGAAAATAATTAATTAAAAAGATAAACTATCCCATTCTAGTTATATTTTCCTTTAAATATGTTGTATCCATCTTTATTCGATAAAGACATGTGTGTTGCTTGCCATAAGTCATACATCTTGTGGACTTGTGATGAAATGCCAGACATAAAGAAAGTGATGATGTACCCAGTCAAATGTGTTAATGTCTACTCCATGTCTGAGAAGAGACACCACAATGTCCACGTAACCCCCGGAGCTGGCCAGGGTCAGGGCACTCTCTCGCTCCCTTGCAATGGTTTTGGGGTCTGCACCCTAGAACAAAAATTCCCCAAAACACAGGGTAAGATGGTGCATTTGGTCTTGATAATATGTGCACGTCTTTATGGACAGCAATCGCTTACTTCTAACCTTTTCCAATAGGAAATCCACCACAGCTTTCTCTCCAAACGCTGCTGCCCACATGAGAGGCGTGAAGCCCCGTTCATCCTGTTGACTTAGCAGTGAACTGTCTGCAAAATAAAGCCAGTCAGTGGGAATCTTTGTACAACTTACTGGCAAGGCCAAATAAACATTATTTATATCTGCTTAGTGACAGCCAGATTCCTCACCTTTACTCAGGTGTGCAGCCACTTGTGAAACCTCGCCTTGAGCTGCCAACTGATGTATAGACAGAGCTGAGGGCAATCAAATATGAATAACTTAATCTGCTTAAGACAATAAAAATACCATGATTCCAACAAATAGTATAAGCACTTTGCCCAAAAAGCATCCTACTTACAGTCCAATGTTGCAGGGCGGACTGTAACCTCATTCCCACGCTGCTTGTTAGTCAGAGTGGTGGGATGTATGGACTCTTCATCCACATCCATGATTTCTGGAGACACTGGCCCAAACAGATCAACTACAGTCATGTCTGTGTCACTGTTATTTATTATTTTAAGACTACAAACGTCAGGGGACATATGCTACACATACATGATGTATCAAGAAAGTCACAACAGATAGGAAACCTAAACTAAAAGATACAAATACACTTGACACACATACCATTGGACCTCTCATCTGTTGACTCGGGAGGAGAGACATTAGCGTTTGATGACCGAATATGTTGGCCATCTGCAACCTCTTCATCACCTATGCCCTCCATGATCACTGCAATAAAAACAAATCATGAACTACCCAAACATTTTGCACTGCTCTCAAGACAAGAAAAAGTAGCACAAATCACTTTGTAAAGCAAATGTCCCCGTCCACTCACCACATCGAGGCTCAGTCTAATGCGCGCTAACTTCCTTTTGTGAAAACTGAAAGTGAATAATCTCCAGTCGCACGATGGGTCTTTCTGACCATTGAAGTGTACCGAGATATATATCTTTCCGCTCAGTTGATTAACTAGTTATACAATCGTAGTTTACAATGAATTAAGGTTTGAATCAAATCGTGTTCCGTATCACTGCCGTTTGTGCTTTTTGAAGGAAGAACTTACTTTTGATGATCGATGTTTCTGTCCGGAAGATTGTCGTGTGACACATGACAACAAAAATACGGAAGAAGCGAGAATCAGCTGACATACATCTACATTTTGTTGTGTCTAACTACGTGCATTATGGAGGACCAGGAGATGCAACTGAAAGTGAGACGAGGTAAATATCAATTAAATAAACCTACATCATTGTTACCTTGTAAACGCTGTAACTGAGCCAGCAGTTGTTGGCTCAAATGAGCTGTTAAGCTAATGCTATGCAAGTGTTGTACATCGCGTATTTGTCCATTTCCCGTGCTGTTGAATGTTTCCCTCTTTTTCTAACCTATGTCCCGAATTCTCTTGCTTTTGTCTGTACTTTTTTGACTCTGCAGTTAGTGATAAATTCACGGAGAGCATGTACGTGCTAGCTAACGAGCCGTCAGTGGCTCTGTACAGACTGCAGGAGCACGTCAGAAGGTCCCTGCCCGAACTGGTGCAACACAAGGTAAACAACCTGCTTTGTTATACTGTTGGAGAAAGCAAAATACATGTTAAACAGCTACTACATTAAAGTTAAAGTCAACAAAAATATATTTAAAAATAATTATCGTATTCAAGTATATTTAGGAAGAAGACATATTTTTATATCAAGAAACAAAAAATGTAAATGTCATTATTATTATTTCATATGGACTTATGAAACACAGCAAACAGCACAGTCCCCTAATGTGTTCCGTCTGTTCTCTTTATGATGACATTATCTGTATGTCTGCTATTTAATTAAAGACCATTGTTATTTAAATCAGACATTTAACACTGTGGTAACATTGAATTCTGCCTGTTGGTTGGGAGTAGTTTTTGTATGATACACAAATATTGCCAAGTCAAACCAAAGATCTCCCCAAAAATTGTAGAACAACTTATCCACACCTTCACTTCCTCCCACCTGTATTACTATAATTAATTGTTTACTTGCCTAAACAATGCATCAGTTGGATGTAGGGAACTCGGCTCTCCAGTCCTGGATTTGTACTATCATGGATTTTGTGTTAAAACAAGTTATTTGCTTTCAAATGCTAGACAGTACCAACTAGTCTTATATATTTTTCCTGTATTTCATGCTGGTATTTTGTTATCATGTTTCACACAGACTGACATGCAGAGCTGGGAGGAGCAGAGTCAAGGAGCTATTTACAGTGTAGAGTATGCATGCAGGTGAGGAGAAGCATAGACATACATATTTCGCAGACTTCTTGTCTTGACTGTTAACACTTTTATTGATCTCTATGTTTTTGCAGTGCTGTGAAGAGCATGACGAACAGCAGCTTGTATTTCAAAAACATTGACGGCCTCCTTCGTCAGGCCATCAACATGAAGGAACAGATTAGCAACTCTCAAGGACGCAGGTAGGAGGCAGCAGTAAACATGCTGACTGAGATACATTGATGTCGGAAGTGTAGGGGTACAAATCAAGGGTTACTTCTTCAATCATTTGGACAAGGAACAGTTAAACATGTTCATCTTTCCAAACTAAAAATAGGCTTTTTTTTTGGCTGTCGCATCCACACCTTTTAAAAGTGTCAAAGATACTCTTGTCAGTCACTGTACTTTCATATTTCCCCATATCTTTAACACAATTTACTCATTTGAGAGTAAAATGACTAGTGACTCTTGAGTTTTATCCCCTTTTGATTCAGTCTTTGCTCCACATCACACCTTTTTTTTGTTCATGCAAATTCTTGTTTACCTTTGTTTTGTATAATCCTATAATAATGAGAGTTAGTATTTTTGGAACATCAGCTAATCAGTTCTTGCCATTTTATTTCCCCAATAACTGCAAAAATAATTATCAGGTCTGTTCTGAACTATTTTGCAGTTAATGGGAACTTCATTTTTTCATTTTTTCATTTTTGTTTTCTGTTTTATTTGTTTTTTTGTTTCCCATTGACACCTGCATGCAGCTTACATGATGTCCCTCCACATGCCCAGCCCACTTCCTCATGACCTCTGGACTGAGGAAGGTCAGTATTTTCCCGAGACTTGATGTAATCACATTCAGGATGATATTAAATCTTTTCTTTTCTTTTTTAGAAATGATTAAAATGTGCATTTAAAAGACATTTAAAGTCAACAAGTTTTTTTTTGTGCACAATATTTTAATCTCATTTTGGGTGTCAAGCACTCACTTTTTCTCTAAATTCATTTAATTTACAGTTGATGTGAAACCACTTTGAACAAAGCATAACGAAACATCTCTGCACAAATATTTGGCAAAGGCCACCATATACAGTGGAATAAAGTATTCACATTATTACAATGAAAGATATACATTTGCCAGATTGATATTTGGGCAACAATGATGAGCAATGATCATTCACATAAAGCACTACACATTGTACAAAATGTGTGCTCAAAAAGTTTTCGTGAATTTAAAAATACTTAAAAATCGGAACAGGAGAAATCAGTTGATAAAATGAACATGTTATATGTTTTTTCCACCTGAGTCCGATCTGTTCAGGATCAGCATTCTGAGTGTCAAATGGTACAAACTGACAGTTCTAAGTCAAACTCTTGCTAGCAGTCCCCTTTTGAAGCTTAAAGGTCATCAGTGTCTTTAACCACAAGCTCAGCTTCCTTTGTTTCAAACAAGAGTAGAGTCTTTTGCGGTGATCCCTGACTTGCGTGCAAGGACACTCCTCATCTCATTGTTGACCCCATTCCAGGGTTTAGCCTGGGCCTGAAGTAGACCTGACTCAGTAGACAGGGTCCTGTGCATTCGGGGACAATTGCTACTGCTGCTGTAGCCGTCTTTATCACTAGCATGGCCCTGGGAGCCCCCAGCAGGGGAGTACTGATGCTCCTGCTGGTACTGTTGCTGCCTTGGGTTGCCACATTGAGGGTAGGCGATCTGATGCTGGAGGTGAGACTGACTGCGTTGCATCCTCGGTTTATCCACACCAATTTTAAGCTCGCAGGGTCGGGAGACGGGTGCGATGTTGCTTCTGTGGTCGTTCTGGTAGAGGGTGCCGAGGTGGTCGCTGTGATAGTGTTTGGCACTCTGAGAAGCTTTCACCAGAGAGTGGATCACAACGACAAGCAGGATTAGGATCCCCGATGAGAGAACACAAGCACTCGCAATGCCTGTCTCCACTTCAAATATGAGGAGCATAAAGATGGACATAGCTGAAATGGAAGACAAATAGAGAATTTATTTAAAACAGATACATTTAATAACCACAAACAATGTTGATCTGTGAGTGAAATCATTTTAAACAAAATAACTTTTAAGCTGCATCTGGGTCTGCTGCTAGTTTCTTTAATTTGGCTTCATTTTCACATTACTTTCTCCATTTCACAGCAATTTGATGCTTAACAAAAATGTATTGAATGTTGTTGAAATGTCATATAAAGGTTAGCTATTCTTAGAGTTGTTCTATGTTTATCTCCAGGAAAAGGACTATGGACTCAGGCATGCTAAAGGAAGGGGGAGAGAAGCACAACTCTGGGATGTGACGTGACTTCCTGAGTTGGGTGTGTTGCATCTACAGTCTCTTGCTCCACTACCTTTTGATTGAGGCTGAAAGTGGGGTCAGAAGGCCGACACCTCCTCATCACAATGGAGTGGCTGCCTCCAGTGACCCCCCCCCCCAGTACAAGCCGCTCAGTGGAACAGGGCACCACAGCGCTGCCAGTTTCAGCATTAAAAACACTTAAGTCATGGACGCTGCTCAAAGAATGCATTGTTCTCGTGGACTCGCTGGACAAACCAGAGAGAAAGCAGCCGTGCTGGTTCTGCCCCTGCTGTTGAAAACCCATAGCACAGCCAATGTTTTGGGCACTACTTTTTTAGTCTTTGTGAATTTGTTGTCAAAAACTAGGATGTCCCATGCATGCAAATTATAAAAGCTAAACTCACTTACACAAGGAAAATCTGCTACAAGGCAAACTTTATTTAAGGATTAAATATATAAACTGCCATGTTTTTAAAAGGAACCTTAAAATAAACAACTACAATAGCATCTTGTTTTTCACTATTTTTATTGTTACCTGCCAAGTAGACAGAAACCCCCAGGCAGAAGAGTCCGATAGCCACGTGTCGCACACCTCTGCTATCCAAAAGGAACCAGTCTGCTCTGTTGAAACAAAAAAGTTCAATGTTTATCATCAGCTCGTAAATTAAGACCATTTATAGCAACATTTTCTTTTTAAACTTTTATTTTAACACAATTCAATGCATTTTGTGCAAAACCATCCAACTTCTCTCCTCCTTTTTTTATTTCTCCCCTAAAATATATGTACATAAAAGTCCTATAATATTTGATTATTGATTATCTAGGTTGGTTGCTATACAAGCTCATTATTATTCACATCTTCTTGGAATGTCCCCTCTGTCGTTAGGGAGGTCCTGGGTTATGGTGGGTTTATAAAGCGACGTGGGAAAGGGCCAGCCAGAAGCCGTGTGCTGGGTGCATAATGAGAGGAAGGCCATTGTTTAGACGGGATTCAGAGGGTTTGAGAGGTGGGGGTCGGCCAACAACATTGTAGCACAGGCCTCTGCACTCTGACACATAAGGAAGGCCCTTTATACTTCTGAAACTGTGTTTCTTTTAATGAAACTTAATGTGGTCAACTAGAATCTGCTGGGTTTTACGGAGATTAATTAGAGAAAAGTGTGTGGGCAGAGAAAGAAACGCATACAAAACAGATTAAATGTTTGTTTAAGTAGTGTTGTAAACACTACATAAGATAACAGCAAATAGTAGCCTATGATGAAAAAAAAGCTTCTTTTATCATTTTAATCATTGTTACCTTTCTTAAAGCATTATGTTTTTGATCAATGCATCTATTGAATTATTGTTTCTTATTTAATGCTGGACTCTGTTTTACCCTTGATTTACCTTATGTTTAAACGTTTTACTAAACTTAGCCTTTCATTTAAATTTGTATGGTCAACCATATACACCATGAACAACCTTAAAAAATGAGTACAGTTGAATGAATATCTCTTTAGCATAGTGTAAATGACAGTTAGAAATCTAAGTGTGCCCATATGAGTTATTATAGGGTCTTTGTATTTGAGTAGATTACATAACACAGGGAGTTTATATTTTCATGGTCATTCATTGTTATTAAAGTGAAATGAATTGACATTTGTTCAACACTAGCCACTGTGGCCTCCATTAACAGTTACTGATACTATTGATGCTAAAATGAAGCTAGCCTGGTTGACCAATAAACAACTATGTTTGCTATCATTACCCACTAAAGCTAATCATAATACCAAGCCAACTGAATTGAGCAATGGTTAGTTAGTTGCTAATAAATTCAACTTGTATTTGTTACAGAAATACAAGTTGTGTTATTTCTTCTTTAAAAACGTGCACAGATATTCTATAAAAGTCACTTTTTCGGTGTGTATTAATATTGCAGTTAGCTGAAAAGCGATCACAGACCAGCCTATCAGAACTGACCGGAACTATCTGTTTCTGAACCATTTGGATAATCACCAGGACAACAAGTGAGTGAAGCCGCTGACAGGGCCTTCAGCAGGTTTTTTGTGGTAGAGGAGGTGCGTTATATACAGGCTAAAATACCTCTCAGTGTCCTGCTCTCCTCTGCAGACCTCTGTTGAAAAGTAGCTGTGGAGGAGACACACCACCACCGAGCTCAGATGGAGGGTGAGGGACAGGGCGGAGAGCACCGTGGACACTGGCAGCAGGACGGCCCAGATAGGAGCGGGGATCAACCAGGAGGTGGACGGGGGAGACTCCTTCACTGCCGCCTGTTGAGACTGAAGCTGGAAAATCAAAATGACCGATAAAACAGACATGATGGCCGATAAAATCCCCAGTAGAGACAGAACTATGAGGGACCGCTGGCTGTACTGGAGCGTCATCTTTTATCCTCAAATGCAGGCGCTTTCTCCAGAGAATAAAGTTTCGGACTACTTTAAATACACTTCTCCGGCGATCCTAAACTCCCCAAAAGTGCGCAGGCATTTCAGTGCGAATAAAAAGTATTTATCGGTCCTTTCGGGATGAATGGTTCCCTCTGCAGCATGGATTTTTGCAGTAGTTTGCTGTTGTGGTAGAGCGCCCCGCTGCTCAGTCTGAGCATGTGATGTGCTTTAAATCCCCAGATTATAAACTTCGCAACAACAATGGACTTTTTCTCTTGGATCCTCGGAAACAATGTGTTGACGCGCTGCTGGGAGAGGGAGAGCTCACTGACCAAAGTAAAAACACCGTGACAGAACAAAGGGTATTTAAACAGTGCAGTCCCCCCTACACACTTTTACCAAATTAAAGTGCCTTTTTATAATGTGAGAAGTGGAGAAATGCATACTTAAAGCTTTAACTTTTAGGGCATACTCCAAAAGAAAAACAGACCTGAAAACGTAGACTATATGTTTATTAAATATCTTTATTAAACAAGGGCCGTGCATAAAATACAATGATCTCAAAAAGACAAAAGGAAGAGATGCCAGATTATAGCCAAAAGTTAATTTCCATCAATCCCTGCAGGTACACACATAACAACAACATTAAAACATTTCCTAGTGCCTTTCACACTAACAATTAATAACAGATCATAATACAGATTAGTGTAATAGTACATTTATTTCCTGGGCTAATAGATTAGCCTACTTCTTATGATGTGATGTCACCTCCAAGTGATTAAAAGATTTATTGGCTCATTTCAACAGGGCCAATTAATTGCCTGCTCATACAAACACTCAAATAACTTCATAAAAAGCTAAATCAAATGTGACTCCAAGTCCCGATAGTCCTTACGTTTTTCCTCTGCAAGATGATACCGGCGGCAGGTGTGCATTTCAGCTAACTCTTGAGGAATTCGAAGCAGCAGGGGCCACCTTAGCAGACCCTCTTCATTGCAGAATACCCCTTTTATTCCTCCTGCAGCTCCTCGGAATCTCTGAATCTAATTATCTTTTCAACAGTTGCCACGGAAACAAGCACAATTTATCATGGGGATGCACTTTTTTCCCCTTGCCTCCGCTTATTTTACAAAAGAATAGCTGTCACCTTTGCTTTTATTTGCACATTGCAACCTTGTGAAAGTTACTTGTCCAGCCTGATTTCATAGAATTGATATTTAAAATTAACTCCATTTTCATTTCACATACCGCTGCTGGACCGCAAACACCTTAAAGTCTGTGACTTGTGTTACAGAGGCCTTATTGTTCTGTTAAAGTTTGGGGTTTGGTGGAGGAGTGGGGGGGTAGTAAAGGTGTAGCCATTATTCTGTTGAGATGTAGATAAGACTGTAGCTATAAAGGTACACAATGTGAACAATTGCTCTCACACATGTACACTGACCATGGAGACTATTTCTGAATTCGACAGCCTCACCACATGCTCTAAAAGGACCGTGGCTGATCTTGTCGAAAGCAGAAGTGAGAAGTTTCAGGAAAATGAAAAAAAAAATGGACTTGACACGGAAAGTTCTCAAAGGCACCTTTCCACATCTCTGCTTTAGGGCTTTTGTATGTATTATTAATTTTAAGTAACTGGTTGTTATTCCTTCCTTCAGCTTGATGGAGCTCTCACTTGTTTAGAGTAAATGTACGAAGATACATGCGTAAACAGCACACTGAGGAAAGGTATAATTTCCCCTAAGCTGCGGGTAATTATTGCTGTATTTACAGATATGGGTTGGCACTATTCCCTGTTGGATTGATGGGGCCCACGCAGGTGAATCCTGGAGGTGAAGGCTGCAGCAGTCTGCAGGGATGTTGCTAAGTATTGCATCATGATGCTCAGTTTAGGTAGCCTCTTGGGAAAGTGTGTGTGTTTGCGCGTACATTAGCTCTACATGTGTCTCTGTTTTTTTTCACTGTGCGTGTGAGAGAGCTGTTATCCACACTTAAACAGATGATCTGTATTAGCACATTTGTCGCTATATTATTTTTAGGAGCACATTGTGTCGCATCCCAAAAATAGTCAATAATGCAGCTCATGCAGTGATTCAGTTATTAATATATCTATTAAGCTGACAGTGTGTCTGTTTTCCAATAATGTCTTGGTGTGTAATTGTCTCAGCTTTGGTGGGCTTTTTATTCCTCCTTTTTTGACTTTACACTGTGACCCCACTGCATTTCTTTATTCATACACAGGAAAAGCTAATAAACACATAATAAAATCAAGGTGGACTATGCATCAGTTAGGGCACAAACCACTCAAACAGAAATGTGGTAGCCTGTACAACAGTTGTGTTCATGGTTAGGCCCTGTGTTTAGTAGGTAAACACAATAGTCAAACCTGTACGATATAGTGCATTGTAATATTGCAGCCTTGCCCCCCTTTGAAGCTCATGTTAAGTGTATGCCGAGACATCAGAGTCGTTGAATTCACTTTTGGTTGTATTGGGGCTCTAACTTGGGGTGGTGTTGTAATGAATTATAGTCTAATCCAGTAGTGTATGTTCAGAGGTGGCTAAATCACATAATTAGTTTCAGTTTACAGCTTTATTTGTGTTCAGTTTATTTACCTGATGAAACTGAGAGACTAAACACACGTCACCTCAATAATCTGTAGGGATTTGGTGAATTGCCTGAGGACATTTTAGTGGAGTGACTGTTTGACAATATATGTGAACCTTCCTCCCTCGTAGAAGGTCTATTATGCCAGAAGGCCACTCTGATATGGGCTACTTTGACGGACACATGTTTTTTCTGCATTTTCATCATTATGATCCATTGATCTATTCTAGACTCTATGCATTACATTAATGTACACAATAAACATTATTTTGTATTACAGCTGACTTTTATTCCATATGTTATTCCTCTATTTCATTCCATTGCAATGTAAATACTGTAATAATTTACTGTTATATTTTACTATATATTTTTAATTATTTTTAATATTTGTCTAGTCCTCTACCTGTGTTAAATTCCTCGTACGTGTAAACCTACCATAAACCTGGTTATGATTCTGATTAATGTGCACCAACTTAAATCTTCCCATTCAGAAAGTGTTTTGGAACAATCTGTTGC